TCTTCTTGTTTCCTGAAGTTGCTTCTTGTTTGCCCAGTTACATCCTGTACCTGAGAGCGTAGTGTCTCAGCTCTCAGGTGCTTGAATACATGGCTCAGGAACACCATGATCAGTCCCGTCTTTCACCATGAAGTTGTTTTTCATGTACATCAGGTGATGCTGGGAGATGTTGACATCAACAAACTCATGAAAGACTATAGCTGGTCCACACCCCACAGAAATCTGTTAGGCGATTTAACCAACCTCTCACTATCACGATGATATCAAGCGAGGTAAAGGATATTCATGATTGTACATAGACTGCATACAATTTTAATATAGGCACAACAAAATGAGTATTGTTTATATTGTCTTTTGCAAATATTGTGTTTTGACTTTCTCAACCTTGATTTGATAATTCCCATCATCACCCCCCTATACTTATCACAGGTTTTTAATGCCATGAATGAACAGCGCCCCCAGTGTCACATGGTTTCCAGTCCCCCCCCCCCCCCCCCCCACCCCCACCAGTCATCCCCCACCCCCACTTGCTGACACAGCTTGTTGCCACTGATGGCAGTTTCCTCCTGCTGCTGGACCCAGTGATCACAGTGATGTTCAGCATAAGACTACAGCGTGTGTCAATAAAAACGCAGGATTAGAAACAAAAATATTAAGAATATAAACCACCCCTATTCATCATAATGTTAAGCCTCTTTTTAAAGTACCTTTCCTTCTCTTCACTATGCTTTTTATCCCATCTCATTTGGACAATCCTGTCCAGAGAAAGAGTACATTGAAGAAGGGTTATAAATTCCAAGCTGGTCTGATTTGTGAAATCACACATACCTAATGAAAGGTTTGAATTCAGTACAGGTGAAAGTATTTGTGGATCACAAAGAAGGACATGTGTGGCAGGATTAGGCTTACATAATCCTTTAGTCCACAATCAATGTTATTAGTCAATAATTCATGATGCTTTGAAACAATGATAGTCCAGTTATTAAATTTAAGTGATACTTATCAACAGTTGTTTCAAAGAAAGTTTTGTGCTGGTTTAATTGTCTTCAATGCATACCTGCATTGTACATAACTGGTTGTTGTGTTAAGGTAATTGAATCAGACCAACCCGCTTCAGAAGGGCTTTACAAAACTTGTCATAACTTTTGAACCAAAAGTCCAAATTCCACCAAACAAAAATCTTGTCAAAGATGAAATTATGGACAATCAAGTCCGTATTAAATTAGGCACACCAGTACCATAATTTTCTCAGAAAAAAATCGCTTTGAATCCTACGTTTTTATTGACACACGCTGTACAACCAACCACACGTTCTGATCATTGTAAGCTTTATCAAATGAAATGAATAAGGCAGGTCAACTTTTTAATCACAAATTCATACAGCCTATTATGCTTGACGACACTCACCTTGCGCATTTTTGCATTTAAAGATATGTTGCGTCGGCCAAGAACAAAAGAAAAAGTTTTTATCAATCCCTGTGCAAGAAGTATGCAAGGCATCCCTGCAAAAAGCAGAAACAGTTAATTTTGTTTCTTCTCAACCACAAGTGCAAATGTATGCATGTGATGTCGAGGACTCATAAGGTGATCAAACTACTGCGGCAGTGTAGACTAGGCAATAGCCCTATCTCAGCTCCAGAAGAAGATCTACAAATAGCACAGTTAAGCATGGCACATGAAGACCGCACACTACCTGTCCCATATTTGCAGATTGTGAGGAAATTGGCTGGAACTGGCACACTGACAGCTTCCTAGGCTACAAATATCATACTGACCAAGTACTCAGCAGTGATCTGACAGCAAGTGAAGAGCCATGCAAGACTGAAACCCATAGTGACGGCCGTGTTGAGAGGTACTGGTGACATGATCACAGCTTCTGTATGTTGAGTGGGATGTGGGACCAGCCACTATTAGGACACTGTTTGGTGAATGAATTTCTTTGAACATTTGCCTTGATGTCTGAAAGTTTGCTGTCGAGTGGAGTGCATCACCTGTGGTGTATTCATGGGACAGTTGTCCCACTGCATCTATGAATGGAGTGCTAGTTGTAATAGTATCAGACTATAGAGGGCGCTAGTCATGTTCCAGATAGTTCTCGAGTTCATGTTGTCAGGCAATAAAAGAGTAGCCACAGATTTCACCAAAGTTGGAGGTCATCCCGACTCTATGTAAATCCACCACCCATTACATGGTGGCAGCGCGGTTCTTACCTCGTCATTGGCGCTACTGACATTCATATCGTCGCCTCAAAAAGGTGAGATTTTGACGCGAAAACGTGCCACACATTGTACGTAAATGACTGAGTAATTATTGCACGTGTAACGGTGTATACAGAGACTGTGTGTATGTACAGTAGCCTCGTGTCGCCTGTGTGTATAGCTTAGGATCGTCACGGTGCAGCATATACTGATACTCGCATAGTTTGAACTGAACATACAATAGGAACTATGACGGACTCAGTCACTCCTCGAATGGCCTGGGATGACCCAGATTTGCCCAGTTCCATACAAATTTTTCGACAACAATGTGAACTGTATTTCTCTGTGAAGAATGTCAAAACAGAGAAACAAGTCGACCATATTCTTCTCTTCATGGGACCTACTGGACTTCGCATGTATAATTCATGGAGCTTACCTGATGCTGACGCGAAAAAGCCTGATGTGGTCTGGGATCGCTTTGCTGCACAAATCACTCCGAGAACAAATTTCCGTGTTGCTCGACTGTACTTGCAGAAATTCCAGCAGAAGGATCGCGAATCTGTTGACGACTATATGTCACGACTAAAACTACATGCTCAAACATGTAAATTCCGCGATGACAAGGAATATGCGGACAGAATCATCGAACAGTTCATCGCTGGAACGCGTCACCCAGACCTGCAAAAGCAACTTTTGGCTCGCAATGACACTTTGACCATTGATCAGTGTTTGGATATCGCTCGCACCCATGAAGCATCTCTATCGCACATGGAACAGCTTAATAGTGTTCATCATGGACCTTCCTCCGTTGATGCACTACAACGCCGACGCACATGCAGAAACTGTGGTAGACAACACCCCTTCAGACCTCGCGACTTATGCCCCGCCTACAACACAACTTGTGATAACTGTGGCAAACGTAATCATTGGAGAAATGTGTGCAAGTCCCGACACCAATCTGATGATTCCACACGTGGCCGACAAAACCAACGTACTCCACGGGATACTCGTCGTCGCTCACAATCGCAGTCACGGTCCAAGTCACGACAACGCCGTTCTCAACGTGACATGCACATGCTTGCAGACAGTGCCCCACCGAGTGGAGACATTGACATTCCATTCGAACAGCTTACGCTTGATATTGTCGTATCTGCCATTCGTCCAAACAAACGCGATCGCGACGAAGCCTACACTTATGTTCAACTGCGACGAGATAAAGAACGTCGTGTTATCAATCTACACGCGAAGGTGGACACAGGTGCCCAGACAAACACCATTCCCGTTCGCATTTATCGTCGAATGTACCCAAGTCATCTGGACTCTGATGGATTTCCGCGCAAAGGACATCTTGCTGACTCAGGTGCTGTTCTCAAGGCATACAATGGCACAGAAATTAAGCAGTACGGCACACTGACACTCCCATGTAAACACACCCAGTCAGAATGGCACAATGCTGTGTTTCATGTCTGCGAGACTGATGGTCCGGCTATCATTGGTCTTCGTACAGCTCTTCAGTTGAACATTGTCGCTCTAAACTGTTCGGTTGAATCGCACGCTCAGTCTGACGGAAACGTTACGTCACAGCACCAACCGATTCGTTCCGTTGAGGATCTACTCTCCGCGTACCCAGAACAGTTTGATGCACTTGGAGATTTTCCGGGTGCCTATCACATTGTGCTTCGCGAAGGTGCACAACCTGTCGTACATGCACCACGTAAGTGCTCCATTCATCTCCGCGATGAACTTAAGTCAGAGTTGGACAAAATGGAAGCACAGGGTGTGATCCGACGTGTGACCGAGCCCACCGATTGGGTTAGTAGCATCGCGATTTCACGCAAAGCTAATGGACAGTTACGCGTTTGTTTGGATCCCAAAGACCTTAACAAGGCACTCAGCGATGTCATCATAAGACACCAACTCTCGAAGAGATCACGCACAAACTTGCTGGCGCAAAGGTCTTCAGCAAAATGGACGCCAAACACGGTTACTGGTCCATCCATATCGATGAGGACAGCTCACTGTTGACGACTTTCAATAGCCCCTTCGGTCGCTATTGTTACAAACGCATGCCGTTTGGCCTGGCAGTTAGTCAGGATATTTTCCAACATCGGATGGATCAGATACTCGAACAGTGTGACGGCGTGATCGGAATCGCAGACGACATCATTGTCTTTGGAGACTCGGAACAGTCTCATGACAAGCACCTTCGTAAGCTCATGACTGTTGCTGCAGCAAACAGTCTGAAGTTCAACAGTAGCAAGTGCGCGATAAAGGACAAACAGATCACATTCTTCGGCATGGTGTAGGACGCGCAGGGTGTCCACCCTGACCCAGCTAAAGTGCATGCAATCAAGGCCATGCCACCCCCTCCCGACAAGACCCAACTCCGTGAGTTTCTTGGAATGGTAACGTACTTAAGTCCATTCATCCAGCACTTGTCGAGCCACACTGCAGATTTACGCGAGCTACTCCGCAATGACTGTGAGTATGTGTGGTCTGCAAGTCACCAGCAGTGCTTCGAGAAAGTACGCGATTTGATCTGCGACTCTGCTACTTTGCGATATTTCGACCCCAACAAACCCACGACAATTCAGGTGGATGCATCGTCACGTGGTTTGGGTGCCACCTTGATGCAGGAAGGCGAACCAATCGCATATGCATCAAAGGCACTCAGTAGTGCTGAGACAAGATACGCGAACATAGAGCGAGAACTGTTGGCGGTTGTTTTTCGGTTGTGAGCGTTACCATACGTATGTCTATGGTAAGCATTTCACGATCGAGTCTGACCACAAACCGCTTCAGATGATTCATCAGAAACCTCTCACATCTGCACCACCTCGCCTCCAGCGTATGCTCATGCGTCTTCAGCCATACAACTTCACTCTGCAATACCGGCCCGGCAAAGAGGTTCCCGTTGCTGACAGCTTATCACGCTCTCCAACGACTGACGGTACACATATTCCGTTAGACATTCAGATAAACCTCGTGCACTTCACTGCTGATCGCCTTGCAGCTGTCAAACGCGAGACGGAACGAGATCCCATACTTCAGGAACTCAAACAGATCATCATATCCGGTTGGCCAGATCGGATGAAGGATCTCCCAGCTCCCCTCCGACCATATTGGTCATTTCGTGATGAGCTCGCAATCGCTGATGGCATCCTTATGAAAGGATGTTGTGTTGTCATACCTACAGCCATGCATACATACACGCTGAACAAGCTGCATGAGGGTCATCAGGTTGCAACCAAGACGAAGCTCCGAGCGAAAGACACTGTGTATTGGCTCAACATGAATCAAGACATAGATCATGTTGTGAGTCAATGCCCTACATGTCAGGAACATCAACGGTCACAAACCAAGGAGACTCTACTTCCACACGAGCTGCCGACGCGACCATGGCAAATACTTGGAACTGACCTATTCCACTTTGAGGGAAATGAGTATCTCATGATAGCTGACTATTACTCTAAATTTCCTCTGGTTCACAGAATGCCTGCAAACTGCACAAGTGGTGCAGTGATTGATGCCACTCAGCAAATCTTTTCCGAGCACGGTGTGCCGGAGAAGATTATTAGCGACAATGGTCCACATTTTGCCTCTGCCGCCTACAAAGTGTTTGCTGACGAATGGGGCTTTACACATGTAACGTCTTCGCCTCATTTCCCACAGTCGAATGGGTTCGTCGAAAGAATGATACAAACCGTCAAGCGTACAATGACCAAAGCAAGAGCCTGTGGTCAAAACATCAGCATGGCTCTTCTATGCCTTCGGACAACCCCAGTGGACAGCAAACTTCCAAGCCCTGCAGAACTGCTCTGCGGTAGAAAGGTTCAGAGCAACCTTCCCGTTGTGATTCAGAATACCTCGGAACACAAGGACCAGACATACCAACGCCTACAGGACAGACAAGCACAACAAAAAGCCTACCAGGACAGATCAGCTCATGACCTCAAGCCACTTCACCCAGGTCAACTAGTTCGTGTACAGGATCCACGAACTGGGTTGTGGACACCAGCTCAGATAAAACAGCGCTGTGAAGAACCACGTTCTTATGTCATAGTGACACCCAATGGTCGCGAACTTCGACGCAATCGCCGCCATCTTCGTGACATTGAACCTGCCAAAAAACGTGTCACATTCGAAGATGACACTTCACCGTCTCGTAACAGAGAAGTACAGGACACCCCGAAAACTCCCACTATCACGCGATCAGGTCGGCAAGTCAAACCACCAAAGAGACTTGATCTGTGAACAGTTGTGTGAACATTATCAGTTTATCACCACCATTTTTTTTTTTACTCGTATTGTTATTGTACTCTTGTTTTCATGGATATGCAGATGACTACACTAAACACATGAAAACCAGATTATTTTTCTTTCTTTTTCTAAGATGCAGAAGTCATGCAAAGATTATTTTATTCATTATTTCCTACATTTGTTTGTTTTCAAAAGAAAACCAATTTTTTTTTCACCTTGTATTCAGTAAGACTACAGAGACAGATTCATATAGCACCAGAGAGCATTTTGTTTTTCAGGTTAACAAATGAGTTTTTTTTTTTTTTTGTGGACCTGTTGGAAGTAATGGCACACAAGAAAATGACCTTTATTGGTTTTTTTTTGTTCATCTTTCCTCTGCAAAGAGATTTTGAGATATCACATTAGCACTGGAAAACGTGTTAAAGCAAAAGAACTCTCATTACCCCATCTTTACCAATCCGACACTTTTATTGCATTTTCAGAAGCAGTATTTATTCTAGATAAACATTTCTTTTTTAAAAAGGGGGATGTAATAGTATCAGACTATAGAGGGCGCTAGTCATGTTCCAGATAGTTCTCGAGTTCATGTTGTCAGGCAATAAAAGAGTAGCCACAGATTTCACCAAAGTTGGAGGTCATCCCGACTCTATGTAAATCCACCACCCATTACACTAGTGACATTAACTGTGTATTAAAATTAGCAAAGAGCGGAGAACGGCATGTTCAGCACATCGAAGCAATTGGCGCAGCATTGTCGAACGAGACCAGTTGCCACGATTGAACAGTTGAACACTTAGTGTTCCAGTGCTAACAGCAAATGTGACGTGAAAGATGTATGGGAAACACAGAAAAAACACATTGCATGTCTCCAAGACCCAGAGGGACTCCAGCTGTATGTTCAGACCGGTGACAGTCGTGAAAAATGTTTGTTGGGCCTATTTTGAAGCAAAACAGGACACAAGCCTATATGTAATAGGAAATTTTTTTTGCCCTCAATCCTGATCCTAATTTTCCCATAATTAGGCCACGCTTTCTTAGAAATGTGTGGGATGCTTGGAAGCACGTGGGCAGTTGGTGGCACAACCTGCTAATATATATTTTGATGAATGCCTGTTCCTTTGGATTGTTCGCAAAATGTGGCAAAGGACGTCAATTGTTCCAACTGCAGTGATCCTCCCAGGTAAGAATTGCCCTCAAGCTGGCTATAGCAACAACCTAAAAATAATGTTTGCTTTGACAATGGTTGCATCTTTTCGCGGATCTTCGAGGAGCATTTTCCAACAATTGACCAATCCGATCTTGCAATCTTTCCAAGAATTTTCCAAGATTGTCCAAGATATTCCAACAATTGACCAATCTGCACTCGTGATGTTCCAACATTGTTCCAAGATTAAAGAATTGACCAATGAGCGATTAGGGCGCTTGTAACTTTTTCTCGGTGCGGACGCCATGTTGATTTTCGTCGAGGAGTGGACGATTGAACTTTGTGAAGGTGATTTTCATGGGTGAATTTCCAATTGTGCACCGTGATTTTTATCTCCAAACGCTTTGACTGTAGGTAAGTGCATCAGCATTGATTAAAAACTGTTAAATTTGCTCAGACGTGTTAGAATAAGCACTTAAAAATACAGATTTTTCGCCAATCAGTAGCCGGCAGGGTGCACGTACGTACGTGGCCGGCCGTGCGTAGCTAGTTTAAGCATGGTTGATTATGCCTAGCCTCAATAATTTTGACTGCATCTTTAACCATGCAAAATAAGTCAATTTCAAACAGTTACATAAGTATCAGCATGGCTCTAAAAATAAAACTTTTTGTCAAAATAAAGCAAAGTGTAAAAGTGTACGCATGTTCTGTGTTTCTGCGTTGTTCGAAGAGGGATAGGCCCTACCCGTCTTTCATGGCGGGGTCGTCTGGCTCTGTCCTCGTCGCGGTGTGGGCCGCGCGGTGGCCGCACAGCTTGCGCCCGGACAAAAATAAAAATGAGCCAAGAAATGGTTGGGGAAAATATCACATTTTGGGGTTTTTTTTGAGTGATAAAAAGAAGATTAAAAAAAGTAGTTATTGTTTATTTAATTGGGATTACTATGAAATGAATATCACACATTTGCTAGATTTGATAAAATTGTAGATTTATAAACTTGTGAAATGTAAACTATTAAATCTCACTGGTCACAGAAAAAAACTCAAAATTTGGCCTGATTTAAATTGTTTTATCTCCAAAACGCAAACACCTATGAAGCTGAATTAAATGCCATTGAATTGGATTTGTGATTCGTTTTTCAATAGTACACAATTATACAAATCTTATTACTTTACCAAAATGACCTACTTTAGGTCCAGCTTAACGACTAATGTGCCAGTCTAATGTAGTGAAGTAGGATGCAGTACGTGCTCTATGCAGTTTTTCAGACACTGTTTTTGGACTCTTTTACCATGTTCAAAGACTTTTTTTCACTGGACTTTAAATGACAGTTTCAACTTTTATATTAACATCATACCGTCTAACTTTAGGGCTTAGGTCAACAGCTAGCATATATATGGCCTGTTAAATTAATATGTTTTGTTTTTACGTGTTACTTTGCAGGTCGGAAACATGGATCAATTGCCAAAGTTCAGGTGTTTGAGTAACGGTACACTTATGCTCGGATACAGTGCTGCTGCTCAGCAAGTTCTAGCTGCCAACAAAGGGAAACCTATCACACCATGTCTGTCAGCTGCAGTGGTAAAACAGAAGGCGAGTGAACAAGTCAATTGCCAAAGTTCAGGTGTTTGAGTAACGGTACACTTATGCTCGGATACAGTGCTGCTGCTCAGCAAGTTCTAGCTGCCAACAAAGGGAAACCTATCACACCATGTCTGTCAGCTGCAGTGGTAAAACAGAAGGCCAGTGAACAAGTCAAGCATTTCGGCGGAAATCCACAAGACACTATGTCTCTTCTGGGCCAGTACCAAATTCAGTTCGGTGCCTTCCGTGGTCAGACATTCAAATGGATGCTGGGAAATGGCCTCGGGTATTGTGGGTGGATGGCTGACAGCATGCGAGGTGAACGACCGACGGATGCTCCACTCAGGAAGAACAAGTTTGCCTTCAAGCTGTATTTGGAAACGTTTGCTGAAGGCAAAGAAGTTATCGCGAAGAAGAAAGCGGAACGTCTCCAAAGGCAGGCAGGTGATGCAAAGTTCACCGCCACCGTCGACCTCAAGGCCACCAGCCACCACATTGTCATCTTTGATGGTCGGGAAGTTGACACCTCAACGAATAAAGAAGAAGGTTCAATCAAGCCTTGACTAACCAAAAGGTAATAGTAGTAACCAAGTTATTAAGTGCACCCTCTTCAGCTCTGTGAACACTGTACATTGTATAAAAGTCAAAGTGAACTCATTCTGTAATTTTTCATTCTGTGTGCTCACATGGATTTTCAGCCATGTTTGTTTGTTTACTGTTTCAATTGTCTTGTAACTTCAGTTAATTGTTTAGGAAAAAAAAATCTATCTAACTATTTATGTTATTTATTTTTTAAAGAAGTCACCGTGAAGAAGAAAACAGAGGCAGTACCGGTGATGCAAAGTTCGCCACCACCATCGGCCTCCAGGACACCAGCCGCCTCCTTTGTTCTCGTGTACTAAAATTTTGCAATGTTGCACACTAATTTCAAAATGCTCTTATTTCAACCAGAATCAATCTCCTGGGCTGAAATTCGGACTTAATATCCCTTTTCTATGACTCTTCCATTTGAGACACATCGACCCACCTTGAAAATTCCTAGTTTTTGAGTAAAATCCATTTATCTATTTCATGAAAATCTTGTGGGGTACCAAAACGGTACCCTGCAAGTCGATAGGCATTCCTTGTGGGGTACCTCCCATTGTTCTGGGACCCCATAAGGCAGTGTTTATACGTTCACACTTGCCGACACAGATTGTTGCCACTGATTGCAGTCTCCTCCTGCTGCTGGACCCAGTGATCACAGTGATGTTCAGCATAAGACTACAACCAACCACACGATCCGATCATTGTAAGCTTTACAAAAAAGATGAATAAGGCAGGTCAACTTTTTAATGACCAAATGATACAGCTGATTATGCTTGACAATGCTCACGTTGTGCATTAGAGATTATTGTGCATGTGGCCAAGAAAAGAAAAAGTTTTTATCAATTCCTGTGCATGAAGGATGTAAGGCGTCCCTGCCAAAAGCAGACCATAGATGGGTGAATAATTGTGCTTGTCTGAGGCAGGCACTGGAGGAAAGCAGAGATTGATCCTGTGACCATGACGAATATGTGGTGGTGCCCGCCTCAGCCACACCTGATGTGCCTCCCCTTCCCCTGTGTCACCAGTTATTGATGTCAAGAAGACTGTGGCAAGTGAAAGTGTACTGCCGTCCTGCCCCAGTCCTCGTACAACTGCAAAACAACATCTACGGGACTTTATTCACACAGTAGGTACTGACATTATCATCTTTACCAAGTACTTGGAGTGCACCCAATGCAGCTGGAGCAACACAAAAATCTGAAAGCAGTAAACAAAAATTTCAGAAGACAGAGTTTTTTGTCAACCACAAGTATGGATGTGATGTCAAGGACTCATCAGGTGATCAAACTACTGCGGCAGTGTAGACTTGTCAACAGTGCTACGTGTATCTCAGCTCCAGAAGAAGATTGACGAACAGCACAGCGAGGCACATGAAGACTGCTCACTACCTGTCTGACGTTTACTGATTGTAAGGAAATTGGGTGGAATTGGTGCACTGACAGCTTCCTGGGCTACAAACATTAATTGGCAATGAATTTAGCCAAGTACTCAGCAGTGATCTGACAGCAAGTGAAGGCCATACATACAAGGCTGAAACCCATGGTGACTGGCCTTGTTGAGAAGTCCCGGTCAACTGGCATGACACGTACGTGAAGCTTCTCTATCTTGAGCAAGAGTGCTGTTGGAGCTAGCCACAGTTGAGGACACTGTTTGGTGAATGGCTTCCTTTGAAAAGTGTCTGCCACTTCATGGGAAAGTCTGCTGTTGGGTGGACAACTAAAGCGGCATCACCTGTGGTGTATTCATGGGATGGTTGTCCCAATGCATCTTTGAATGGAGTGCTAGTGACATTAATCATGTAAAAGAAGCGAAGGGAGGAGAACTGCATGTTCAGTACATCATGGGCTGCTAGATGATGACATTGTGTGGTGTATCATAAAAGAAGCTATTTGGGCAGCACTGTCGCTGTCGAACGAGACCAGTTGCCACGATTGAACAGTTGATCCATGGACTACACACTTGGTGTTCCATTGCTAAAAGCTGATGTGATGTGAAATATATGGGAAACTCAGGAAAAAACACATTGCATGTCTCCAAGACCCAGAGGGACTCCAGCTGTACCTCGTGAAAGGTGTTTATGGGCCTATTTTGAAGCAAAACAGGACACAAGCCTATATGTAATAGGATGAATTCTGTGCATTTGTGCATACCGGTATGTGCACATGATGCCATTGCACGATGCATGCCACGAACGCACACACAGTTCTTGCTCATGGTTGTTAGTCTCATGTAAGGCTCAGAATGTGTTGACGTGCACATTTTTGCAAAAACTTGGTGTGTTGGGATTAGCTGGAGGTAGGGGACTAGTATCTTGAGTGTGCCCAACAAAGACTATACAGGTTTTTTAAAGCTCGGCTTCGGTGCAGGAACGCCATCTTCTTTTAAGCATTTTCTTGGGGGGGGGGGGGGGTGGTGGTGTCCGTCAAATTGAATATGGCCACAATTTTTGGCCCCATCATCAGAGCCAGTTCATATCAGGTGGAATTTGAATGCCTCTGCGCAAGTGACAGTGTGAACCCTGCATCAAATGTTACCTTTAATAGTAACCCTTCAACGTTTAACATTATTACTTATTACCATGATACAAATTTACTGTGACTAACATAAAATTGGCAATTCGCATATTAAAAAACAAGTGGTACTCTTTGAAACTTTGCATTACAGTTTGCATTATTATCTATCAGAGAAGTAAGTAGGACATTTGCATAGCATTGTACCTCTTCAGTTTTCACACCCCACACTACTCTCAGTCAAAATCTAGTTTACAACAAAGATTTAATCCCGAAGGAAAAGAAAAGAAAAAACTGGTTTGCTGGCACGAATCAACACCAAAGACCCGATAGTGTTGACTGCATTCCAGAGTCAGCAGTATATTCACATGTGAAGGAAAACTCACCATCCCTTCAACATCAAAGATGTGGTAAATTTGGACAGAGAGGACAAGTGGTTTGAACTAGTAGGGCCAATGGTTTTCTGCGATGGCGGAAAACAGACGGAATTCGCGGAATCTGCTCCTTGAAATGGAAAACGGAATTTGAATCTGAAGAAAATAACTTCTGCAATTTTATTGATAAAAAAACATAATTTCATTAAATTTATTGAGTCCACAACAGATTATTGATGATTGATTGAACAGACGAGCCATAGAACAAATGAGCCGTGTTCATATCACGATTTTTTTGGGGTGAAAAAACGTTTAAGATCAGAGCAATATTTGTTATGAGATCATTAACGTAGTATGCATAGTCATGGAAATTCAAATGAACAAATGAATAATTTAAAGTTTGTTTTAATAAAGTTTGTAATGCAATAACACTACACACACCACAAATAATACAACAACACCTCAACCTCAAGTCATACACATCTTTGGAAATAAAATGGCATCGATAATCAAGAAAAAGATCAAACGACAGGCTCCATTAGTGCATTTATGTGCATCTGAGCATGCTAAGCAGTTCAGTGGTGATTTGTACGTAGATGGAAATATTCTCTTCTGCAAATTCTGTGAGCATATATAGTGTAGATTTCAAGCAAGTTGACACTGTGAAAGATCATCTGGAGAGCAAGAAACATGTGAAAAACAAATCTGCCAAGATTGCTGCTGACAAAGCCAAGTCAGATGGTGATGGCCAACCTCCAGCTAACCGCCAGGTGACCCTGTTTTCGGCCTTCCGATCAAAAGATATGCAAGAAGAATTTATTCTTGACTTTGTTAGTCTGTGTACCATAGCAGATATTTCTCTAGAGAAGACAGAAAAGACAAGTCCCTTCATGAGGAAGCATTGCAAACAAGGTGGAACATTACCACAGGCAGCTACACTGAGGAGTCTCTATGTGCTTCGCCAGTTTGAGGTCCATTTTTGGGCACTTAAACAAGCAGTTCAAGGTTGCAAAGTCTCCATCATCACTGATGAAACAACTGCCGTGCGAGAACACAGCATCTTCAATGTTATTGCACGCATCCAGGGAAAGTACTTCCTCACTGATGTCTGTACCATGGAAGCCTGCAACCATTCTACTCTCAGCGCATCTGTCATCAAAGCTGTAACCAGTGTGGGCATTGAATTCACAGTCTTGCCCACATCATCAATCTGTCAGCTGAAGTTTTTCAGCTATGGCCAGAGTTTGACAGGGTGGCAACTCTAGTCAAAATAGTGAAATCTGTCTTCTTCAAAAAAACCAGCACGCAAGACACCTTCTTGAAGTTCCTGAAAGATTACCTGCCCAAAGATCAGGTGAAGCCTCCCCCTCCACCAGTTTCAACTCGTTGGAACTTGTGGTTTAAAGCTGTGATGTACCACTCTGCCCACGTAAAAGAAATCAAGTCCAGTTTTTGAAATATTACTTTGACTTGAGGAATAATAATCTGCATTAAATCTTTTAAATAAGAGTTCATGTGATTATTATGCTACATCTTCCTTTTTGAAAGCATGCAGTTATCAGTGTACACTTTTTGCTCAGGGAAAAAAAGCTACAGTAAAGTTTATTCAATCTTTTTTTTCCAGGATGTGGATAAGAAGAAGTTAATTTTCAGCTAGTAGGGTCAGTGAGTCTTTTGTATGTTATGTCTATTAACTCATTGTTTACCTTCATGTTTTCCATTGTGTACTTCAGCAACAACATTTTGGCCGGCACTAGCCAGCATTGCAAATCACAGGCTGGCAGTTGGGGTAAAATGAAGCACAAAGACAACAGCAGAGAGGAGTGCTCAGAGGAAGAGCTGTGTCATCAAGATATGCACCACCTCCACCACGCCCTAGAGAGTGCCCTCATACAAGTGGCTGATGTTCTGCTACTCAAACGATGCTCTGGGTCATCAAGATAACGTAGGCACATACATCACAACAACCTATGGCAAAATCCTTAAGATGGATTCAACCAAGACAGTAAGTTCTAGTCATTTTGTTTTACTTAATGCAGTTCAACAATATAATTACAGAATGTACAGAAAGTATGTTGAAAATGAAGTGAAAGAGGAAGAAAAAGTTCCGAAATCGTGGCGCAAATCCTGCTTGATCCTATTCTAGATGTGGTCTCTGCAAGCAGTCTGTCATACTTTGTGGAGGAGAAAAACTCTCCAATTATTGGATGGTCTTCTAATTATTACAATTTTTATATTATTTATAGGTGACAAAGATGATAGCTAACCAAGCAGCTGGTATGGCAGCATGGACAACAAATGTACATGTAGGAATGAATATGGCCAGGTGCTGATCTTGATACTTACAGAGTATGAGGGTGCAGGATTGATGATGGCATAGGGCATCTTCAAGCACTACACGGAGACAGGTGAAAGCCCACCTCAACTACTCTATTGTACAATTGTTGTGTATCTGGGAATAGAAATGTAAGTATCCCATAGCTACTGGACATAATCGTTTGCCTTGATATCTGGCATTTCATTCAGTATTGGAATGGTATGCCACAACAGAATCACATCCTCGGAAAGGAACTTTCATGTTGGGCTGTTTGCAGCTATTTTCAAGAAGGACAACATTGACCTTAAGAAGCTGCAAGCTGCAAAGTAATGAAGAGAAGGCAACAACATCTCTTTACTGCCGCCATCAGAAACGAGGGGTACAAACAACAACCAGAATGACCACTGAGTTGCTTATCACATAGTCTTGGCCCAAGACATCCGGGATCAAGAGCGATAGTTGCAATGTTCTGTAGCACCTTTCTCGCACTAACGTCTTGGTCATTGTGTAACAGCTGCACTCCATTACCATATTTGGTATGCCAGTGAGAGATTTCAATATGCCAATGTATAGACCAACTTTGAACCAATGAAAAAGTTTGTTTTGTCTTATGTTGCTTAGTGAAGTGATGGCCCAAGTTGGGCTGTAAGTGGGCTGTGCTCACTTTTGTCACAGTCATTGAGACAGCAGGATCAGACTTCATTTTGTGCATTAAATGTTCCCCTCCACCATCTCCTTAACCCTGCCACGTCTTGTTTGCTCTTTACTATCTGAAATAATTACGAAGGAATGGCGGGTTTAGGCAGCCATTTCCCCCATTCTCATGGTTAAGAGACATTTGTTCACTTACAATTCTTGTTGATGTTCTAATATTGTACAGTTGCAATAGCGCTCGCGAGTCTCATGGGGCTAGGTTTCTGACTGAATTTTACATCAGTGGAAATGCAACTTTTTAATATGATGTCTTATTGATGAACATGGATATGGCCTATAACCACTTGTTTTGGTTTACAGGTACATGCATGTACCTTGTAGCTTCGGCTCTGTACCCAGCTAAAGTTTTGGGTCTGTGTTTTGTACCTTGTAGCTTCGGCTCTGTACCCAGCTAAGTCTTGGGTCTGTGCACTCTGTGGTGCCAGTGGTTGTATTTTGTAGCTTCGGCTCTGTACCCAGCTAAGTCTTGGGTCTGTGCACTCTGTGGTGCCAGTGGTTGTATTTTGTAGCTTCGGCTCTGTACCCAGCTAAGTCTTGGGTCTGTGCGCTCTGTGGTGCCAGTGGTTAGTGTATTTTGATCACTCAGTAGTGTTCAAAATCATGGGTGTGTGTCCCATGTACAAATTGATGTGACCGGTTTGCCCAATCATCGGTATCCGGCACAGTTATGAATGTGGAATAATTGGAATGAATTAAAAGTTTCAAGTGACTGTGGCATAAATTCAAACCTGCGAGTAATTACATGTGTTTTTGTTATTTGAGTCTGAGTATATATACCTTGGCCCTATTTGTACATTTACGTGTACATGTGCATGTAGGCAAGTGTAGTTTGGTAATTCTACCGGTAGATGTGATGTTTTGGAGCAGGGTCCAAAAGGAATCTCACTAAAGCCGTAATAGCCACTGTGTATTTTGCCTGATTTGGGTGCCACCTTTAATTCTTGGCCTGTGTTTCATAAACCACCAATGTGACAGGCTCTCGACCACTGGGAACTGGTTAACTGTCTCAAGTATTTAACCCTCCTGCAAACATACATTCTGTGCCAAGTAGTCCTTTCACTCAAAATCAATCAAGTGACTGTTTTTATATTACAGGCAAGAATTCCCAGCCCACTGGCAGTCGGCTGGGACTGCTATAATGCATTTGACTCCGGGTGATTGATAAGCCAGCTGTGCCAACAACTTGCCTGCTTTGTCTGTTCATGGTCTGTTGACTGACTTTGATTAGTTGCATTACTTGCTTGATATGATCTGACTGCTGGTGACTAGCCTGTGTTAAAAGTATAGCAGGGGAAGTGCATAGAAACTTTGACTGTCTATGAATGTTTAAATAGCAGGAGGTTTAATGGAGATTCCTATAATATACATGAGGAGTATCCCTACATGTAGCCTATACAGTAACATGCGAGTCATAACACATGAAATGCTGTACATACCCCTTTCTGACACTTTAAAATAGCATAATATTAGGGGTAGACATTGAACCCTTGGCCTGTGATATCCAAATTACTACTACAAGGTTTACCCGCTTACCTGTTTTCTTTCAAGGTTTGAAACATGGATCAAATGCTGGAGTTCATGGCATTTTCTTCCAGGTTACTGTGCTGCTGCTCAGTTAGCAGTATCTACATGTAGCTGATGCCAACAAGGGAAACCTACTACACCATGTCTGTCCACTGCAGAGTTGAAACAAAAGCCATGTGAACAAGTAAAGCATCTCAGTGGAAACCCACAAGACACTTTGTCTCTTCTGAGCCAGTATCAAATTTAGTCCATTGCCTTCCATGCTCAGACATTCATCAGAATAGTGGAGAATGGCCTCAGTATTCAGTTATGGGTAGATAAAGTCGACAGTATGCGAGGTGAATAACCACCAGAAACTCCACTATGTCCACTCATCAGCAACAACAAGTTTGCCATCAAGCACTACCTGGAAATGTTTGTTGAAGGCAAAGAAGTCATCAAAAAGAAGAAAGCGGAAACTTACCAAGAGGCAGGACAGACGGGCGCTGCACAGTTCACCAGCACCGTCATCCTTGAGGGCACCAGCCACCTCAATGTCATTCTAGATGGTTGGGAAGTTAACACCTGAATGAATAAAGAAGGTTGTTCAATCAAACCGTGTCTCGCCAAAAAGTTTTTTGTGAAAAGGGAAGGGGGGAGGCATATTTGCCTGTACTTGGAATTATTAAGGCTAATAGTATACATTGAGCATTTGTTAATTATGAAGGGATGGTGTATATTCTCATTGTCTCACCAAAAGGTTTTTTAGATGGGGGGAGGGGACAGATCTGCCTGAACTTGGAATGATTCAGGCTAATGCTTTGAGTTTTTGTCAATTTTGAAGGTATTGTGTAAACTCTTGTTTTTTCACCAACAGGTTTTTTTGTGAGAAGGGGGAGGGGATATCTGCCTGTACTTGGAAATTAATCAGATAAACATATTGAGTATTTGTCAAATGTATGGCAAATTTTGAAGGTACCGGTATTAGTGTATATTCTCATTTACTTCGCCAATATCTATCGTTGATCAATGTCAGTGACGAAGTACTGCTGAGAGCCGCATCTGATGTGGAGGCACAGTTGCAAGGATATTGCACATCTGCAGGTATGGTGACAAAAAAAGTAAAAAAATCATAGTCAAGGTTATGGTCCAGTGTTGTCAATTGTGGTTTGAGTGTTTGTGCTCTTGTAGCCTGATAGCACAGTTTTCAAAAAAAGTTGCATTATTCTTGTATGAATCTACAGGTCCATAAAACTGAAACAAAAATTAGTATACAAAATTGTGTCAGACGCTGAAGGTTTGTCTACTGTACCGGTACTACTGCTAACCCATCACAGTCTGCTGCTGGACAAAGTGATCACCGTGATGTTCAGCAAAAAAACTACAACCAAACTATACAATCTGATCACGGTAAGCTTCTAGTCCGTGGGACGAGAGCCCGAAAACGCTTTAGTTTTCGAGATAGGTGATCTGGTTCACCGAATTTTATAAAACTTGCCAGATATGTAGATTATGGTGTACCATATCAGAAAAACGTTGTTCCCCAGTCCACGAATTGTTTGGGAATGAGAAATTCTACGACAAAAACACGCACGAATTGTGCATGAGAAAAAGGAAAGAAATAGCGCCCTCTTTTGACACAGCAAATATACATTTTACACGCAATGCATGCGCGCGAGGCGGGTTCGCCCGTTTTGCTGAACATTTGTTTAATGTTAGATTCTAGCCTTTTTATTTGTAATTATTTCTAAAGCAAGATGCTTATTACAGTTTATTTCAATTTGAAATAACCAGGGAGTTCCTTATATTGTACAACATCTTGTAAATAACAAGCCTTTATGAAAGAATGTGTAAAACCCATGAGCCCCAGACAAATCCATTTTGAGAGAACTTGCAAGTTGCTTTGTTATATCCCACAAAAACTGTAAATCAGTCAATCTTCTCTTAATGGCTGCTAGTTAGCTGAAACGCATGATCATCAATAATATGGGGCAGGTGTCGTACTTAAATTGATTTAAATTTAGATTAAATTTGATAAGAACGATTTGAAACAATAAATAACAAATACGATCCAAATACTGTTTCCTTAACTTTTTTATTCCAACTTTGATGTGCTGTACATGACATACTGCATTCAGCCAAAAGAAATACACAGATGGAAAAATCTTAATCAGTTAGTGTTGTTTTCTTGAATGAACAATTTGAGTAAAGACGGCAGGTACCTCAAACAGGATGAGTTCATGTATTCCAAATTAAATGACAAAGATCCTCCCCAGAAGAAAGAGCCCCAAAAAAACAGCTTCCAGTCGCAGATAACTTTACAAAAGTTGTTTAAGGTGTGCAGGCATTCCACTTTTAGTAAAAACTTGGATTCAAAACCATCTAGTATACATTTGTTTCTTGAACTTCTGTTTTAAACAATACAACCAATTATATCCTTTTTGGCCCTATCCATTCCCCAAATCCCAATATACACCACATCAAACATTCATAGGGGTTTAATACAACTTCAAACACACCTTATGCAGTGTTACATGTATCTTTTTGCCAATTTGGTTAACAGCCTTCATGAAAAAGAAATTAAAACAAAAATAAGTTTTCTAAATGCCAGTTTGTAAACAAACACAAATGTGTTTTCACAGATATCAATTAGTCTGACCACACCAATGCAATGGCACTTCCTCAGTTGAATTTCTGCAATTGCAGTACATGTACATGTATAAGTGTCAAATACCAGAAACAATAAGAGCAATTACACAAATGCACCGAAACAATTCTGAGCACATCCATTTTGGATTTGACAATGTGCATAAGAAGTTCTTCATTGTTGTTGTCTTCCGTCGCCTGTAGCAATATTTCAGCCTGTAGGGTAGTACATTTGACCAGGGATTCTTGCCTCCTCTTCCTTGTAACTCGGCAGGTCACACACTTCTCCTTCCTGCAAAGGATGCACTGTTTGGGTAAAACGTGTTGTGATCTTGCTGCAGTCTTGGAAACCGTTTGCGTGGCTGAACGGAGTCTTCTCGTTTTCACAGGGGGGTGGGGAACCTTTTTGGCTGTTTCAGTTTCTAGAATACAGAAGAGAAACAGAAAATACAATCTTATTCAACTGTTTACATGTAATTAACATTTATTTGGTTGTATTTATTGAAATAAGGCCATTTTTTTTCAATGAAAATGTTGTGTTGCTCTCAAATAAACAAAATCAGGAGGGTATATGTTTCTTCCTTAAATTTTTGAGATTATCTTTTTTTTGGGGGGGGGGGTGTCAGTTGGGGAGGGTAAACAACAGTATACATTAAAACCTTCCCCTCCTTCGAAATTACAAATAAATGGAAAGAAAGTCATTAGTTCTTGGGCCTAATACTGGTATACACATGTGCATGTACATGGCCATGTATAAATTTGTGGATTGTACACTAGCACAGATGGACTCCCTTTCCTCCCTACGTTACACATACATTGCGTTTTTATAGCTAAAAGTAAAAGTTTCAAAAGATACATTAAACTCTTTGGACTGTCTTTTCATAAACAAAATACATTTCACATGGACACTGGATGAACTGAACTATGACAACAGTTTTCCAGTGTAAATTAGTTACAGACATCAGATAAATACTGGGGGGGGGAGGGAGATTATCAAAAGCACCTCACAACTTAGTCCGAGTAACTTGGACCCAACTTATCGCCTTTTTTAACATTTGGACATGGTCTGGCGATAGTAAGGTCCAAGCTAATACCGCGACCTGGACAACATCATCCTGTCACTGTCCCAAAAACCAACAGTTTCCAACAAAAAACATCAGATTTCACCTTCAAAACGGCCTCCAAATGACTAGATATGCCACCTGAGGTACAAGTAGACATCGATAATTAAGATGGTTGTACTGAAGTTTACTTACGATCCGGAAAAAAGTCAAATTTTCCGTTCATTTCGGAGAGCTCCCCTCGCCATCTTGAACACGTTAAATTTCCAATCGTGTTTAATGTTTGAACGACGCGATTTCTTCTACATGCCCAGCGTACATTCGATGGTCCCCGTATCCCGAGTGCGATTCCGTTACCGAGCGTGCGCGATGCATCGATTATGATAATGAGTGGACTGGATCACGTTTATAAACACATGTGCATTTCAAACGATAATAGGGAGTCGGGAACTAGCGCAGCTTTTATGGCGGGTACCAGTTCAAGCTGGTTCCCGATTCTCTTTTACAGTTCGAAATGCACATGTATGTGTTTACAAACGTGATCATTATCATAATCAATGCATCGCGCGCGCTCGGTAACGGAATCGCACTCTGGATACGGGGACCATCGAATGTACGCTGGGCATGTAGAAGAAATCGCGTCGTTCAAACATTAAACACGATCGGAAATTTAACGTGTTCAAGATCGCGAGGGGAGCTCTCCGAAATGAACGGAAAATTTCACTTTTTTTCCGTATTGTAAGTAAACTTCAGTACAACCATCTTAATTATCGATGTCTACTTGTACCTCAGGTGGCATATCTAGTCATTCGGAGGCCGTTTTGAAGGTGAAATCTGATGTTTTTTGTTGGAAAATGTTGGTTTTTGGGCAATGACAGGATGATGTTGTCCAGGTCGCGGTATTAGCTTGGACCTTACTATCGCCAGACCATGTCCAAATGTTAAAATAGGCGATAACTTGGGTCCAATTTACTCGGACTACTCACAACTATACTTGTATAAGTTTATCACACCATCCTCCCCCTGCAGTTTTTTTTTTATGAAGGTTACCAAATTTGTTAATGAATAGAAATGGAAGCAGCAGTTTCTATACAAATAAAATGTACCTGCAACTTTAGACTTCTCTTTTTGCTGGGCTTGAACTGCTCTCTTCACCTTGGACTTGTCAGTGTACTGACTGTAGCATGACCTATACAGAAATAAAATGTGGAGGTTTACATTTACATAGTACCAACATGACCAATAGGCCTACATTGTACCATGACTACACAATTGCAAGGCACTAACATGTTGACATGGTTGACTATTAAACTATGCTAACGTTACACAATCATTGACTGCATTTAAGTAGTTTTAGGAAGGCATAAAAATCTACATGTTCTGTGCATGCAGGCCCCCCTATGCCATGAATTTTCAGAGCCCCCCCCTTGACCCCCTCCCCCCTTCATGCCCTTGCCCTTATTTTATTTCGATCATAAAATAGTCAAGTCATCTGGTCATGGACATGATGGTAGGTTAGTATGATATTACACGATCTCGAAGTGAAGGGAAGTGTATGATTTGTATCTCACCGATGATGACCAGCATTCTCTGGGATCGTGAGATTGCAACCGCATACTGACGGGCTGAGTAGCAACACTTACGCCGGCTGACGTGGCGGATGTTTTGGCGATGAACTGCTTGCCATCTCGGCTTGCGGTCCTTTTGTGAAGGCCTTCCAGACGTCGGTAAACTCAAGGAAACGTGACTAGCTGTGCTCCGTAAATAACTGCACTTCACCCTTTCCAGTCGGAAAGTGCATGAGACACTGAACTGATGATTTTGGAGCATTTTCACCTTCTGTCTCCACTGCGGTCTCGGACTCGGTACTTGCTTCCGACGACGCCATGTTGGACTTGCCTCTTGTCGACGTATATATTACGTGCAATTTGATTGGTTCTTTGGCGATGCAACACAAACCTTGCACGTTATTGGTTGATTTTTATCCTCTCTCGGGCGTTATATTTGTCTAACGATTTTTTTGGCTGCAACCTCGAATTTGATGTTAATTAAAATTCATTTGTGAAGTCCCAAACCACCCAGGAATGCGGGAACGTGGTTTGTTAGCGCTTTCTATTTTTGATCAATGGAATAAGAAATATTAGAAAAAATTCGGAAAACCAGATCGCGTAACGAGCGAAAAAAAGGCCTCGTCCCACGGACTATTCATAAAATAAGATGAATAAGGCAGGTCAGTTTTGTGATGACAGAATGATACAGCCTATTACACTTGACAACACTCACGTTGTGTCCTTCACACGTGCTGGTAAACAACGAAAAGTCTATGGTAGAACACATACTATGTATGGAAGGAAGTGAACAAAATACATTATATGTATGTGCCGGTGCGCGTTGTCCGCTCGCGAGTTGTACTGTCCTGATCAACTGGAACAGGCAGGGACGGTGTAACCGTCGAGTCTTGAGGAGTTGGCACTGGCAGTTTTGGCGATGATGGTTGCGGCAACGCGGTTGAGGGATCCACCTCAAGATACGCAACTTTCAATCTATTCAAACTCACAGCGTCGCTCTTGCCGTTGATGTCCAGTGTATAGTATTTGTCTGCTCGCTCAAGTACACGATATGGGCCCTTGTACAGAGGTTTAAGTGGTTTGCGCACATAATCACATCGGACGAAAACGTGTATGCAAGACAACAAGTCCTTGTGAAGCTGTGTGGTGCGGGTGTGCGGTCGTGTAGGTGCTGGCGCTATCTGACGCATAATGCGCTTGAGGCAATGTACATAATCTCCAGGGTCTAAACCGGGATCATCGATGGGTGTGACAAACTGTCCAGGGAGGCGCAAGGTAGTTCCAAAGACGAGTTCTGCTGTCGAACACCCAATGTCCCGTTTGACGACTATAGGTATGCCCAGTAGAACAAGAGGAAGTGTTTCCGTCCACCTGTTGGGCTAGTTCTGTGCTTTGAGTGAAGCTTTCAACTGTCTGTGGAAACGCTCTACAAGGCGGTTTGCAATAGGATGGTAAGATGTAGTACGGATGCGCCTACTGCCTAGTTATGTTGTCAAGGCGTTGAACAGGGCTGATTTGAATTGTCGGCCGCGGTCGGTGGTGATTGTCGATGGTGTGCCATATCTTGTCACCCAATTGCTCACAAACGCCCTGGCTACAGTTTCTGCAGTTATGTCTTGGATTGGAATGGCTTCCGGCCACCTTGTGAACCGATCAATGCACGTGAGAAGGTTTGACTGACTGTTGGACGGTGGAAGTGGGCTGACAATGTCAATATGCACGTGGTCGAGGTGGGCATCAGGCTTGAGAGTGGCTCTGATTCCAGGATGCGACTGTGAATGCAAGGAGTCGAATACTGCTCGGTGCATCGCCTTGGGGACAAAGGGTCGAGGGGTTCGGGTAGCCATGTCGCAAGTCAGGGTGTTCTCACTTGCGACCAGTGGAATGTCCTTGGAAGAACCGACTGTTGCTTGTGATGGAGTAAGTCCTCACCATTGTGCTGATGCTCGGCCATGACCTGGAAATCAATTGAAGATGATGACATGGCAAAGAATGTGTTCAGGCTAATGCGTGACAATGTGTCAGCGACATCATTGTGTTTACCTTAACATGTCTGATGTCAGTTGTGTACTGAGACACGTAGTCAAGTTGTCGGATCTCGCAGGGGGGGGGGGGAGAATTATCTATCTGAGCTTGCAGAGAGTACATGCGTCAGCGGTTTATGATTAGTTAAGATGGAGATGCGCGGCCCTCGACTACATGGCGGAAGGCAAGGTAAGCCGCCAACAGTTCCCGGCCGGCCGACCGACCGAACGTATTGTACTTGGTCTCCGCAGGTTGCAGCCTTTGTGAAAAGAATGCAATGGGGCGCCAGACGCCATGTTCCATCTGTTGTAGGACTCCATGTACCCACGGCAAAATCAGAGACACCAACCATCAAGCTTAATTCAGCATCGGATCGAGGATGGGACAAACGAGTTGCATTGATCAAAGCCAACTTGACTGCTTCAAAGGCATCGATTGCCGTGTCAGTCAGTTCGATTGTCTTCTTGGGTTTTCCAGCGAGAAGGTTGGTCAGAGGTCGTGCCAAGGCAGCACAATGGAGTATGAAGCGGCAATAGAAGTTGACCAGACCAAGAAATTCACGCAATTTCTTGGTTCAATTGGGGACTGGAAATTATTTGATCGCGTTGACCTTTGTGTCCAGTGGCCAAATACCGTCCTGGTTGATTTGGTGGCCTAGGTAGTGTAGTGATGGAACGATTCACTACAACGCCATACTGATTGCTCGAAAAGCGTACGAAGACGCGATCCCCCTCACCCAATTGGGGTGTACACCTCTTTAGTTGGTGTAGTTTTGGTGCACATGTGGTGTACACCAAATGTGCACCAGCTCTATGCAAATGATGAGACTACACCAAACATACACCCCAAAATTTTAGCCATAATGTACATACACCAAAAGTACACCACGTCAAGTTGGTTATCAAAGCACAGCACCAAATATACACCACTTTTTGTTAGTTCTTTCAACACTGCACCAAACATTCACCAGATAAAGTTGGTTGTCAAGCATGGCACCAAATGTACACCACGTTTGGTTATTTCTTTGGATATTTGGCAGTTGACCTATGACCTTACATTCCATTCACACAACTCCCCTGCAGAGTGCGGGAAATTTGAATTCAGTCAGTTGGCAGTTAGAGCAGAGTGGTGGTGGCAGTGTCAGGGCAGTCGGCAGTTGTGGCTGTTGGCTAGAAAGTTTGCATTTTTGTGGTAGAAATTGCGATGTGGAGCCATCTCAAACGCACCCTTCTTCTACGGTAGGGGCGTGGGAACCATATTAGAAAAAAAGGGGGCGGGTTTTTTGTTATGCCCACCATGGAACCACTGTTCCCACATTCGTAGAGAAATGGAACTTTTCCACAGCCATTGACATTCATGAGAAAAAAAATTCCAGATGTAGAGCCATCGCGAACACACCCTTTTAGGGGCGTGGCAGCCATATTGAAAAAAAGGGGGTGGGGTTCTCATTATGCCCACAATGGGAAAAATGTGCCCACGAATGAAGCTAATTCCCACAGACGTTACTATTCGCGAGAAAAAATTCAGACGTGGAGACATCGCAAACACACCCTTTTAGGGGCGTGGCAGCCATAGTAAAATGGGGGTGGGGGTAGTCAGTGATGCCCCTTTAAAGGGAAAATACAACATTTGCAAACATCAAAAAATAAAACTACCAAATCATTTTGAAATACCTTGCTGGACTGTTAGTGAATGACAGTGTAAAGCATCATGTGGGCACATTTTTCCCATGGTGGGCATAATGAGAACCCCGCCCCCTTTTTTTCAATATGGCTGCCACGTCCCTAAAAGGGTGTGTTCGCGATGGCTCCACATCTGGAATTTTTTTTCTCATGAATGTCAATGGCTGTGGAAAAATTCCATTTCTCTACGAATGTCGGAACAGTGGTTCCATGGTGGGCATAATGAAAACCCCGCCCCCGTTTTTTCTAATATGGTTGCCACGCCCCTAAAAGGGTGTGTTCGAGATGACTCCACATCTGAATTTTTCCCCCTCATGAGTATAAATGTCTGTGGGACGTTACATTCGCTCATGAAATTTTTCCCAAGGCGGGCGTAATATTTACTGCCACGCCCCCAAAAAGGTACTTTTGTGGTGGCTCCGAATCTGGAAAACACTTATACGCTATATAATTATGTCTTTGTGAAGTTTCCTGCTTTTGTGACAAGTGGGAACAACCATTTTAACTGCGGGCATGATGAGTCCCACCCCCCTTTTTTAAATTGATGCCACGCCCCTAAAAGGGTGAATTTGCGATGGCTTTACATCTAAAACATATTTTCGCATGAATATGAACATCTGTGCCAAGTTTCACGCTTTTATGCAAAAGTGCACAATTTTTTTCACATATCCACTGGACTATTGGAAACATCATTTCAAGGATTTACCAGTGGTTTAGGGTGTGTGCAAGGATGGACTATGATGTGAAAGCATGTTAAAAACTCAACCACCCATGTTTTGACTCTACAATAGTAGAATGTCTTCATGTTGTTCATTACACATTTAATGTATGGCAAAGAAAGTAAAATGTATTTTATACAGATCCTAAAGAGCTAACGCAATAAACATGTGCACACATCTCTGGATTATTTCGCAAGGATTATTTCCTCACAGAGGCACCAAATTTGCATACATAATGTGCAGAACCAAAACAGCACCACTGCACTGGTGCGCTTTTGGTGCTAATTTAAAATTGGAACGCACCTCAAGCGCACCACCCCTGTGTGGTGCGCTTTTGGTGCTAATTTAAATAATTGGAACGCACCACAAGTGCACCCCATCACCAAAATTGGTGCAGTTTTGGTGTAAGGATTTAGTACTGCTGAAATTTTGCCCACGCACCAAATCTGCACCATTAATGCCACACCAAACAGCACCACACTCATGTGTGGTGCGCTTTTGGTGCTAATTAAAAAAATTGGAACGCACCAAAACTACACCCCGTGCACTTTTTTCAGGTTTAACTTTTTACAGGGTACACCAAATCAGCACCATTTACAAAGGAGTTGTCAATTTGGTGTACACCAGCTTTTGATAAACACTACACCAAAACTACACCATATGTACACCAAATCTGCACTCCAATTGGGTGAGGGGACTCGTGCTCCTCCTCGCTATGAACCAGCCTTGGACCAATATGCTGCCAGGTCTGGGCCAGTTCTGGCTGCCATAGGCTATAACCAGTCCTGGCCCAGTTCTGGCCCGGCCGAGTGTGAACCAGCCTTTGGCCAACCGTTTGCCAGGTCTGGGCCAGTTCTGGCTGCCACTGGCTAGCCAGCTTTGGCCCATGTCTGGCCCGGGTGAGCAATAACAGGCCTAGACCAAGGGTGGCAAGGCCTGGACCAGCCCTACCTGCCGGGTCTTGTCGGGACTGGGCCAGCCCTGGGCCAACCCTCTTGTGCTAGCTGGGATGTGGTCGAGTTCAGCCTTAGCGATTTTTTAATTTGTCTGGAGCAAGGCACCGTGGCCTGGCGGATACAGGAGGGCCTTTCGTTATGATGTGATGGGTGACATCATGTTTGGGAATTGCATCATTGAAGCAAGGTCGGGTAATGGCACGGAACTGACCCAAAATGGCCGTGTATCGAGTGTTCGGGATAGGCCAGCAAAACCAGGCTGAGAACATTGGTGCTTGTTGCAATGCCTTGGATGCTAAGACTAGTCGTGGAATCTATGAGTTTCCTGTCTTTCATGTCAACCAATAACCCGAAATAGCGTAAAAAATCTGCTCGAAAATCCACCTGCGTGTACGCCTATGACCTAAATCAATTGTCATTGAACGCTTATCGTATACATGTGTGAATCTGTGTCTTGACTGCCTCGAGCACAAAATCACTTCTGCAGCGCTGCTTGTCTCGTGGCGTTGGAGGGAGGATGCTGACTTCTGCACGGGTGTCCACGAGGAACTTGGAGCCTGTGATTTTGTCATACACATGGAAAAGGCAACATTGATTGGGTGTGCCAGTGGATGAAGTCGCCCCTATCCGCTGGCCAGCTGGTTTCCCTGGGCCGTGTTGGAACTGTGGTAATGCGTATGTAGTTGCATGGCTCCTTGCAGTACAGGAGCTTTGTCCAGGTTTCCAATGGTACCAGCAGGAATCAGTAGGGTTGTCCCCCGATGCGAAAGAACTGCGATCGCGTCTGTGCTGGCTCTGGTTGCGACTGCGGCTCCTCGACCGACCGTGTTGATACTGGTTTTGGCGCACCAACAACTCCATTTGAGCCGTGAGCCTTTCGACCAGAGCTTGAAGCAATTCTATTTCCGATGCAGCGGATGGCTTGACTGCGGCAACAAGTGCTGGTGCTGGAACCGCGGCGCAGGCCTGAGCCGGTGATGGGGAAACTTCAACGACTTGTGTGATCAAGGCCAAAATAAGTTGGATATTCGTGGGCAGGCGTTGCATGAACAACTGCTTCAGGATTGCAGGCCTTAGGGTGTTATCTCCGAGGAGTTGTTCCATGGTACTGCGAAGTAATTGTGAAGGCTTTTAATCTCCAAGCTCTTCTGTGGTCAACAGTGTCCTCAACCAAGGACATACCCAATCATGGGACTGTACAGTTTCTTGACCTGACCTTTGACCTGTTGATCCAATCATCCAGGGCTCAATTTCACCTGTTTTCTGCTAACAGTGCCATGATATTGGGCCTACAGGCCAGCTGGCCTACAGGGACAGCTAGCAGTGAATAAACGCATTATCTTGATGTGACAGGGGGAACACAGGATCTTCAAGTTTAGATGGAAATACTGCTTTTATTTCTCAATGGCCGCATGACAGCAAAGCGCAGCCAGCGCTGTAAAACTTTCTTTAAATTACAAGACTTTACAACATGCGTGTGCTCTTGTTGGTGGCTAATGTAATATCTTAGGGAAATAACTGGAACGGACTCACCGTAAACCATAGACACTGATAGAGTAAGATTCGTTCATAGCGAGCTGCCATCTTGGAACTCCTTTTATTTGATAACATGTAGTTCGTGCCATACGACATCTCCCCCTTTTCTAGAACAAAATAAACTGGTTAAGAAAACACATTTACAATGCACATGATTGAGTCTGGGTGTTCAATGTTAGAAAGTGTCTGCAAAATGTTGAGTGTTCCAAATCAGCTCCTAGAGTCCAATGTTCTTGGTTCAAGCAGATTTCTAGAGTTCTTGAATTAAATCAGAATGAATTTGTAATTCAGAGATGAGTGCGAGATAATGCAAGATTGATTGATTGATTTTAACCGAGTAATGAGTGATTGAGTGATTGAGTGATTGAGTGATGGAGTGATTGAGTGATGGAGTGAGGACAGTTCAGTGTTCTAGTACATGACGTAATCCTGCTGCCATGCTGGTGGTTTCCTCATTCGCTGAGACTGTCTCACTCCCTGTTGCTGAGCATCTGGGTTTTGTTGGACTGGATCCTCCAGTTGGATCTCGAAGTCTGGCTCAGGTGGTGGTTGTGGCATCCGGACAATATGCCGCCTGTTCCGACGATATTCTGCGCCATTCACTCTCACGATGTAAGAACGGGGTGTGTCTGCTTTACAGAGGACCTCTCCGATTGGACCAAGTTTGCCCTTTGTTCTAATCTTCACCCGGGCTCCTGTTTCCAGTTGATCCAATGCCTTGGCGCCATGTTTCTGGTTGAAGTAGACTTCTCCCTTGGACTTGGATGCAGCGTCTGCTTGTTTCAACTTTGTCTGGTTGATTGGTTTCTGAAGGAGATTCTTGGGCAACATTGGTAGGGTAGTGCGTAACTCTCGGCCCATCATCAGACTTGCAGGACTGACACCAAGACTTGGAAGTGGGGTCGCGCGGTATGTCATGAGAGCTCGTATGGGATCTGGTTGACGCAGGATACTCTTGGCCACATGGACAGCTTTTTCGGCCTGCCCATTTGCTTGGGGATAGTGTGGACTGGTGGTAATGTGGTTGAAGCCAAACTCTCTAGCAAACTGTTGAAACTCTCCCAGGAATTGTGGGCCGTTATCTGATACAACAACTTCAGGGATCCCATATCGTGCAAAGGTAGTTTTCATGAAGTTGATGACTGCTAAGGCTGTTGTCTTCACAAGGTGATGAATCTCGATCCACCTTGAGTAGTAGTCAACGATCACTAAGTACACCTTCCCTTTCAGCTCTGCAAGATCGCACGCGATTCGTTGCCATGCTCGTTGGGGTAAAGGTGTTGACATCAGGGGTTCCGCCTTCTGTGCTGGTTGCTTTTCTCTGCAAAACTCGCATTGTTGAATGTGCTGCGCGATGTCAGTACCGATTCCAGGCCACCATATGGCTTGATTTGCACGGAGTCGGCTCTTGGTGACCCCATGGTGACCCTCATGGAGTTTCTCCAGCATTTCCTGCTGCATCTTCTGTGGGATGATGATGCGGTCCCCATATGTCAGTATGCCGTTGATCTGGCTTATCTTATCTTGTTCCTCCCAGTATCGCTTGACATCAGGATCTACGTCCTTGATGTACTTTGGCCAGCCGTCTTTCATGTACGACGATACTAGGGACAATACGTTGTCTTGCACTGTCTCATCTGTGATTTCTGCAAGTTTGGCATCCGAGGCTGGCCACTGGCTTGTTACCATGCTCACGTGTGCTGCAATTTCTGCTGCGAGATCATCACTGTCATCAGCTGTCTGGTCTGTATGAACTGAGAAAACTTTGATTTCTCTTTGTTTAGCCGCAAGCCAGCTTTCTGTAGGATTTGGACTACACGATGCACACGTTGATCGTGCTCTGCCTGTGTTCGGCCGGTGATGAGAATATCATCTATGTAGACAACTACACCATCCAGATTCACGAGTAGGTCACACATAATACGCTGATACAACTCAGGCGCTGATGTGATGCCGAAAGGGAGTCGCGTAAAACAGAAACGCCCAAATGGAGTTATGAAGGTTGTCAATTTCTGACTGTCACTAGCAAGGGGTATCTGCCAAAACCCGTGCTTTGCATCGAGTAAGGAGAACACTTGTGCACCAACAATCTTTCCCAAAACCTCTTCCAGGCTGGGGATAGTGAAACGCTCCCTCTGCACAGCTTTATTCAGTTGTCGCAGATCTACACAGAGTCGAATCTGGTTGTTCTTCTTGGGTACAATCACGATTGGAGCACACCACTCTGTCGGCTCAGTGATGCGCTTCACGATACCTTGGGTTTCCATCTTTTCCAGTTCTTGCTTCAACTGGGGAAGTAGGGGCAAGGGGATTCTGCGAGGAGCGGTCACACAGTATGGAGTAGCGGAGTCGGTTATCTTTATGTTAACCGGTGGGCCTTCAAGACAACCCGTGCCTTCAAACACGTTGTCTCGGTTCACCATGGTGTACACCCGCTGTATCAGACCAAGTGCTTCACATGCTGTCTTGCCAATGACAGGCTGACCACTGGCAAGAATCTGGAACACCAACGAGTACTGACGATTCTTCATTTCACATGACAGTTTCTTTTGTCCAAGAGGTTTGGCCTTGCCACCAAAGTAGCCATGCAAGCGAAGTGTCGTTGGCTGCAATGTCTTATCACTGAGTTTCAGTGATTTGTACACGTTAGCGGGTAGGATGTTGACTTCCGAACCTGTATCTAGCAGGAACTGCACCATCTGTCCCTGCACTTTGATAGGTTGTCTCCACACATCACCATTTAGTATGTCATGGCTGGTGTGATGCACTGTTCCAACGAAGAAATCATTAGTTTCAGTGTCCCCATCATCGCTGTCAGTTGGATCGTGCTGTACTGTATGCAACTTCTTCGGTTTAGCGCGACACACTACCGAGAAGTGACCAAGTTTCTGGCAGTAGTTACACTTTTGTCCACTTGCTGGACAGGATTGGTGGCTTGGATCTCTGCCACATCTACTGCATCTCTTCCCGCCTTGTTGAGGTTTGGCACGTGTCTGTGGGGGTGGCTGTTTGAACGATGGCTTGTACGGTTGCTTGTACGGTTGCTTGGCGTTTCGGTGTAGTGCGTGAACTGATACTGTGTCTGCATTAGGGCTGTTCTTAAATTCACGCAAGTCCTTGACAGCTGTTTCAAGGATTTTGGCCAAGTCCACGGCTGCTTTGAAGGTGAGACCATCTTTGGTGAGAAGATGTTTCTGGATATTGTTGCTGGTCAGACCACACACAAGCCTGTCTCGCAATGCGTCGTCGAGAAACTGGCCAAATTTACATGTACTGGCCAAGTTTTGAAGTGTCATGGCATACTGTGCAATGGTCTCTGATGGCTGTTGATCCCTTTTGTAGAAGCGAAAACGCTCTGACACAACCAGGCGTTTGGGTCCATAGTGGGCGATCAACAACTCACACAGTTCTGTGTATGTTTTCTCAGTTACTGGGGTTGGCTCTGCAAGACTTTTAGCAGTTTTATACACAGTTGGACCGACTGCACTTAACAGAACAGCTGTCTTTTTCTCCTGAGCAATGTCATTTGCTTGAAAATACAAGTTCAGCCGCTCAACATAGTTACGGATATCTTCCACCTCATCATATTTGTCGAGGCGACCGATCAGCGGTGCGCGAGAGTGCGCCCCCTGTTGTGGAGTTTGTGCCATTGTTCTGAACCGTCACTCGTGCGGTGAATTTCCGACGTAAAAATGCCCTTGTTACGTGTCCAAAAAGTCAAGTGACGTTAGAATACTATGCCCTAAATGTCCGCGGGTATATTAGAAACCCAGCGCTGCCACCATGTAATATCTTAGGGAAATAACTGGAACGGACTCACCGTAAACCATAGACACTGATAGAGTAAGATTCGTTCATAGCGAGCTGCCATCTTGGAACTCCTTTTATTTGATAACATGTAGTTCGTGCCATACGACAGCTAATACAAAACTGAACTGAAGAAAACTAAACCACAGGATGTTGGCCAGTCCCTCACATTCCTGGGCAAACCACACAGGGATCATGAATAAACAAAGCTAAAAAGGGGGTGATAAAACAAAGCAACTAGTGTTGAAAAGCTAGAGTCTATCTAATGAATAATAATGCGGTACATGTAGTCAGGCCTCCTGCCTGGAGGTAAATACTTTTCCAGAAATGTGGAGTGTGTGGTTGACCCACCCAGGGCTAAAGGACAGATTTTCTCTCCAGTGGTTTTTAAATGAACAAAAATATAACATGAACATAAAACAATGAAGATAATAACAATTTCAATACTTTGAAAACATGAAGACAATTTAAAAACTTGTGAAAAAGCAAACCCATGTACCGACCATTGGGATATAAAATATTAATACAACTTTCAAAAGAGATAGGAAAAGCAAAGGTGCCAAAAAAGATATGATTGAAATATGTTTCAAATATTTCACCGGTTACATTGACAACTTGCCAAAATAAATCACCTATTGCAGTGGGTTTCTTCAAACAGATCAACATCAAAGATAAGGAAATCCCCCTAATGTTTATTGGTAAGGATTGTAACCAGTAATTCACACTCTTGATTGTAACCATAATTGAGACTTTGCGCCCTCACAGGTTTGAAAAGCTTGTTGACCTTCCCAAGCCCAAGAGGTTGATTGCATAATTGGGTTGTTTATAAACCCCATAATGGTTCAGCCCTTCAAAGTCTGGGTCTGGGGACATTGACAGATTTGGATTAAGCTGAACCCAATAACAACAGGTAATTGATCCACACATGAATTGACATAGGGTTTGTGTTTTGTTAAATCAAAGCAAAGGTTGTAATTAGATACTGGTATTTGGTAGTGAGAGGTCAGTTATTGCATGGAGGAATCTTATTCCTCCATGGTTATTGGCATGATATTTCTCTTTCAAGTCAGGAAATTTTTCAGTTTCCATAAATAAAATTTCAGAATTGTTGCACATTCATTTTCGAATTCAAGGGGTCTGAATTAAAGCGCAAACCACTTGGGGTTAGCTTTCAGGCCCTATTCTAAACAATCAAAGTACAGTCTCACTTACTTTTAAGCTAGGACTACCTTTATTTTGGCCATACATTTACACATGTGCACAATATTGAAGAATTGATCTTTTGAACAAACCATGGAGGAAGAACAAACACTCTTTGGAAAATGGACCTTGATAACAGGGCTACAGGTTCACTTAAATAGTTCCACTGTGTTAGGACACTATACTGGCAAGTGACCAAATGTGGGACATTAGGCCAAAAAAAATAATAGTTCTGCTTCCGGTTACCCTATTTTTAGGCTGCAACCCTAACAAAATTTATCGGCAATTAAAAAAAAAAAAAAAAAAAAAAAAAAGATTGAATAAATAAAAATGAAAACCTTTTGTCTTTTCTGTCTTCACAAAATACCTCTCAACAACCCTTTTGCGTCAAAAATTTATGCTTGTATTTATTTGTTTTCTTATTTACATTCGCTATTTTTTCAAAAGAAACCTCCGTTATTTTTACAAATTCGCTTCGCGATATAACTACTTCGCAATTCGATGTCACGGTGACTATAATCACGTGCGTAAGCTCAATGCGGCGACGACTGGTTCCCGCAGCACCAATTTAGAAGACATGATGAACATGCGGTAACTAGTCTGTCTGTGCACGGCTATGCGATCGATAGCGCTAGCATACCGCAGGCACGTGCACTGTCAACTGGTCGGATTCGACATCGTAAAAATGGCAAGAAAACACAGATGGAGAAAGAATATTTTTGCAAGTTAATCCACAGAATTGATCTAGCTTGTCTGTGTATGTATTTTCCGGGAGTTTTCCGTGTTCAAGAGTTCATCGCACTACTCGTATTTGGAGTGATACAATGCAGCGTGTTTCCCGAAATTTTCGACCGTAAAAACGAGGTCTGTTGGCCGCGGGCCACACACACAGTGCATCACACACTGCAGAGTTTTGGCCAGCTCCCCGTCTTAACTAGCGTTGTGCATATGGTGCGAACGACCTGAATTTTCCACTATTTTTTACAAATTATCGGACTTAAATATATTGACAATAATTAAGGTAGGTTTTATTCACTTTTTGTGGCCATTTTGTGCATAGCTTTCGTAGTGCAATGGAAATAGTTCAGGCTAAAACTTCGCATATAATTGAATACCCCATTCAATCTGCATAAGAAAATTGGTAAAAAAAAAATAAAAATTTCGACCGACCGACCCTATTTTTGAAAGGCATGTAATAGGAAGCAGAACTATTCTTTTTTTGGGCCTTAGAGATCTGAAGCAAGATGAAAGCTGCATATGCTGTTTTAGTTTTCTCTTCCCTTTTATAACTTTAAAAGTTTACACTGCAAATAATAGGCCAGATATTATTCACTGTTAGTTTCAAATCAAGTTTCAAATTAAGTTCAACATTTATAGTTACTGTCCCCAATTAATGAGAGATACATGTGTCCGCTTACTTGAATGCAAACCTACTTTTTAAAACCTCAAAGCTTTTACCCGCAATTTGATTTTAATAAGAATTGGATATTGGATAATATCCAATTGGATAAAAAAAAAAGAAGAATTGGATATTTTGACAGGACTACAAGAAGCCCACAATTGCCTTGTTTTATACTTGCAGAAGAATGCACAAGTGGAAAGTCATGTAACTTACATTAACTGTCCAAAAATACATTTATTATCTGCCTGTGAAAAATATTTGGACAATTCTTTTCAATGTTGTTTTCTACTGAAGCTAAAGGGAAAAGTAACAGCATGCATCTTCAGATCTCTAATGTCTTACTTTTGGTTGTCAATATTGTGACCTGATACGCAAACAAATTGTCTGGTTAAATGCAATTAGTTTTAATCAGGGGTCGATTTAGAAAATACAAGATACATACATACATAGCACAACTGAGGGTTTCCTATAAAAAATGGCTGGTAAAAACAGAACAGAAAATTTTTAAATGACCAGGCAAAATTGCACACAAAGCCAAAGCTATGTATCGACCCCTGGTTTTAATACAAACTCACTTCCAAATAAATTGACTTTGATGCTTTGAGCAATAAATCATTGACATTGAATGCTGGTGGTTTGGTGCAAGGCCAAATTTAGGGATGGTTTGGGTGGCGCCTTCTGTCTGCATCCGAACAATATTAATTAATTAATGAAAAAATAGAAATATCCGAAACTTTTTCCTTTTGTTTGCTGATCTTGTTGGATTTCTTTGGAATTTTTGACTCCAAGTTCTGACTCCAAGGCCCATTGGCGCCATGCCAAATAAGGCCAATTTTACATTAATCAAAATTTTTAGAACAAGAACAAAACCAGTATCATTTGATAGCGTGGAACTTGTAGATTATGGAAATATAACCTAAGAATGATTTTAGATCAGACTAATTAATTAACTTAAGAATGGCCCAAAAAGTACAGAGGGTGGGCGTGGCTGTCACCCCCTCCTTTTTTTTTTACTGATACCACTGCAACGCAACGGTAGAGCCTAGAGGAGAAAATGAAACCAGTTTGTATTGATGCCTAAGCACCCGTGGAATATAAAAATAAAACAGAAAAGCACAACAACAAAAAATAGAAAACAAGTCTGAGGTCGATCGGATTGACGAAGAGGCCAAAGTGGAGTCTTTTAAAACGTGTACAAAACATATGGGGAAAAATGCATCTATAATGTGATGTGACCCGACACCTGATGACGTCACGGTCACAAATTTCCTCTAGGACCATCTGTGGGTGGTGGTCTAAGTATGTACCAAGTCTGAAATCGATCGGATTTAAAAAAGTGGCAAAGTGGACTGGCTGAAGAAACGTGTGTTAAACCTATGGAGAAAAAGTCTGAAAAAAAAAAAGAAAAAAAAAGAAAAAAAACTAGAGATGTGTTTGTGGACAAACACAAGCTGTTTCGGATATTCGAAATACTCTGTGCATGTTATGAACAATCAGTGACGTCACTAAAAATGTCATCTATAACAGCACATTATACGTACATGTCAAGTTATAACCAAATCGAACATAAAGGTCTGTAAATATAGGCCAATGAAGAACAAAATGCCCCTTTACGGGACGTCACATGACATTTGATGATGACATCACATGAATGTTCATCTATAACCCATCTTGGCATTGGTACGATCACGAATTTCTTCTAGGACCATCTGTGGGTGGTAGTCTAAGTGTATACCAGGTATAACGTCGATCGCATAATTTACAAAAGTGCCAAAGTAGAGTGTTTTAAAACGTGTACAAACCCTATGGGGAAAAATGATGACGTCACGATCACGAATTTCTTCTAGGACCATCTGTGGGTGGTGGTCTAAGTATGTATTAAGTCTGAGGTCGATCGCATTTATGAAGGTGCCAAACTGGAGTGTTTTAAAACGTGTACAAAACATATGGAGGAAAATGCATCTTTAATGTGACGTAACCAGACACTTGATGACGTCACGATCACGAATTTCGTCTAGAACCATCTGTGGATGGTGGTCTAAGTATGAATTAAGTTTAAAGTCGATCAGATTTACGAAGATGCCAAACTGGAGTGTTTTAAACCGTGTACAAAACATATGGGGGAAAATGCATCTTTAATGTGACGTAACCAGACACTTGATGACGTCACAATCACGAATTTCGTCTAGAACCATCTGTGGGTGGTGGTTTAAGTATGAATTAAGTTTAAAGTCGATCGGA